TCTCAAAGCAAGACAAGTAAATGAAGAACTAAGGGAGTTGAATGATGAAGACTTAGTGAAGCTAGTTGGTTATATTAAGATCTACAAGGAAGTGAAGAAGAGTTGTTTCATGAGGCAATTGAGGATTCCATAGAGGAGTTGGAGTCAAATGCAGAACACGAAGTTGATGCTAGCCATCTCAAAGCAAGACAAGTAAATGAAGAACTAAGGGAGTTGAATGATGAAGACTTGGTGGAGTTCAATGAAGATCCAGCCTACAGTGAAGAACTACACAACATAAAAGGGTCATTTGATGATGAGGTTAGGTTTCCTGAGTATAATGAAGAAGCAACATCTAAGGGCACTGAATTGTGCAAAGGTATGAAATTCTGCTCACATAATGAATTCAGAAAAGAACTAAAGGAGGGGGCTATAAAAGGGGGTTTTGATTACAAATATCAGAAAAACACTAAGTCCAACATCTCTGCGGTTTGTAAAAATAAGGACACCTGCAGAGAAGAAATAGGCTTCGAAAGGCTAAGGTGAGGCAAGCAGAAAGGGATGGGGAGATGGTGGAGCAGCCAAGTGATAGTACTACTCAACAACCTGTGGCAACCAGTAGACCAAAACAAACAAAGAAGAGAGACAGATCAAGTATCTCACAGTCTCAACCATCAACAAGAAGAGTAACAAGGAGTACCAGCTCATAACCCTAGGGAAGAAGAATGAGGACCAAAATGTATGGCAGTCATGTATTGGACCAAAATGTGCTCATGTTTTTGGGTGATGATATTCAGTCATGTAATGTTACATATGGTTATGTTTTTGGGTGATGATATTCACAGTGATGTAATGTTACATTGGGTTGTTTTTGGGTGATGATATTCACAGTGATGTAATGTTACATTGGGTTATTTTTGGGTGATGGTTTTAAGGAACTTTGGAATGTATATGGTTCAAAGACTTGGTATGTTATGTATTGATAATGTATTGTGTTAATGTATTGGTTATATTACACATAAGATGTCCAAATTTTAATGTTTGAGTTCAAGTGCAACTTGTAGCATCATCATTCAGACATACAAGACCAAACATTTCATTCAACCTACATACAAAACAATTCATAACAACACCAAACATTTGATTCAACTTATAACATTTCATTCATAAAAACAAGACCATCAATAATTCATAACTGACAACAACAATTCAAACATACTTCAACAACAAAACAACAAACATACATAACTAATTTCTTTCAGGAGCAATAATTCATAACTGACCACAACAACAAACAACAACAAACATCGAACACCTTCCAAGCTGTAAACCTACACTAATTTAGGAGCAATAATTATGACAATAAACGCCAACAGCCAGAGCATCGTCATCTTCCAAGTGGAATTGTCATTCTTAGCCATCGCCAATAGGATTTGAGCATTTTGTTTCTTCAAATCACCAATCACACACAAGCAAGAATTTATTTGACACTGCAATCCGAACTCCTTATTCTTCATAGCATCCTCAACGCTTGCAATTTTTTCAAACAGATATTCAATGCTTTCATGGGACACTCCACAATAGCTTTCATCAACCCAGTCAAAGAAATTGCATTTTTGAACCCCACCTGCGAAATAATGACCACAACCATGAAACTTTTTCCATTTGTTCTTCTCTGGCGTTGCTGTCCAGATTGGAGCTTGGATTCCACAGTCGCATTTCTTTACCCACTCACTTCATCTGTCAATCCTCGTCGTTCTTGCACTGGAGTTGGATTTCGAAGAACTCATTGTTACGCCACGTATGCTTCGTTCCTTTTCCTTGTTATTACTGTTTTCTAACAAAATCAAATGACTTTATGCTTTAATTCAAAATGTTTACTGAGTTGGACGAATTGAACCCCACGCGGCAGCCATTTAGGCCGAATAACGTGCCACGTCATTAAATTATAACGGCAGTAGGCTGAGACCCCTCTGCCGATAACGGAGGTAAACCACGAACATCATTTTGACAAAAATTTAAGCTCACGACCCTCTCCGCAAATGGCTACAACCACATGTAGCTAATCCGTACTTTTCCCTTTTATTTATTTATATATAAAATATTAGTGTCATATGAAAGATAATAAAAAAGGTATACTTTTTTATATATTTTTTGTGATAATTTAATGTGTACACACTAATGACATGTGATTAAAACATTTATAGCGCAATATACGGATCGGATATACAACCTAATGTGTCATTTGTTATAGAAAAAAATAAAACGTATATACCAAAAGACATAATAATACTACATTTACACCCTTTTATTCTACACTTACCCCTTTTCCAAATGTACTTATATCTATTAACGATAACATCTTATACATTATCACCATACGTAACGATATTTGTGTGGTGCTAATATGTCAACACTTTTCATTCTTTACAGATAAATATTAACTCTATAATTTGCATTTTCTTGTAAGTTATACCACTTTTTCTACCATGTTTCCTAATAATCTTGGATTTAAGAAACAAATAAAATAGAATATTGATATTTTAAATTAAATGAATATTATACTATAGTAGTCGTTATAGTTGTATAAATTATATTATAAATTAAATATTATCATCATTACTATTCACTATACAAATCGGGTGTTGCTAAGACATTTCTAATATTATTTTTAAAATTCACAAACAAATAGCCTGTTCGGAATTCGGATAGTGACATTTCGATGCTAAAGCATATCATACCCACGCAAATACAGCATCCATCTATATATTCTATAAATAGTAAAGTTACACCTGCACGAGTAGTTCAGTTGGTCGAGCGGTGAGAAAAATTGAACGTAGACCAAGGTTTGAATCACGCAGCAGCCAAAAAGGACTTTTCAGAACCTGAAATAATGTTGGCCCTCTGGTGCGTACGGGTAAAGGCCTACTGCCGCTTTGTTGACTGAGTCATCGTGATTTACCTCCCCACCATCCTGTCGGGTCGGGGTGGGTGGGGGGGGGCTTGGGGTTGGGCATTCAACCTTTTGGACTTATAAATAGTAAAGTTACCCGTACGGGTAGCTCAGATGGTCGAGTGGTGGGAAAATTGGACCAAATGACCAATGTTCGAAACCCGCAGCGGCCGTGTGGAGGTTACAGAACCTGAAATAAGGCTGGACCTCTGATGCGCACGTGTATAAGGCCTACCGCCGCTTTACTGACTGAGTCACCGTGATTAACCTCCCCACCATCCTATCGGGTCAGGGTGGAGGCTCCTGGGGTGGGAGATTCCACCTTTTGGACCAAATATAAATAGTAAAGTTTTATACTAAAAGAAGGTTGCACATTTTTCCTTCATGAAAGGGTTATCATAATATATTTAGAATATAGTATTTGCATGAAGTTAGGTGTCGTATCAGGCTCTCTCGTAGAACACCTCATCAGTGTTGGTTGGTGCACGTGTTTTGTCTTCTATGTACAAAATAATACACTAATTCATGAATTGGTTGGACTTGTTTAATTTATTTTACATTTTTAGTTATGTGATGAAATTATGAATACATTTACATCATATGACGCTGAGTCTGGTAAAAATAATTTGATGAAAATGTAAATATATATAGTACGTAACATCGATTGAATTATGTAATTTGACAATATATTTGACAATAATAACTTTTCTATGTACAAAATAAAACACTGCCTAATTGAAATATAGTTCCTCTGTCTCATTAAATTTGACAATAATAACTTTTCTTTTATCAATAAGGATCAGATGGGAGCAATAATATTTATTAGTATGAAATTATTTAAAATACAAAAAACATACAGAAACATTCTTTATTAAAGATACTTTCATAAAAATACTCCCTCCTTATTGATGAATTGTTTGATACACTTTCTTTATTTTTGTTAAGTTTTGTCTTAAAAACTTATTTTTTCTAATTTTTATTCACACTTTCATACTTTTCCACATTATCTCCTACTTTTTTTACACTTTTCATAACTCATACTTTTTTTCTTTAAATGTTGTGTCAAACCTTATTGTAGCAACATTTGAATACGGGAGGATAAAATATATAAAATTCACACATACATAATCATTAAAATCATGTCCAAAGTTCATAATTGTTAATCTATAAAAGTAAATTCAAGTTTTACAAGAGAAGGAGTATTTTTAATAAAATTAACAAACAGTTAAAATAGGCATTATAACCAACTTCAACAATAAGATGTCTGTTTAATTCGAGCCCGCTTTTACATAATAATTTTATAATGTCGCGATTGGTTATTACTCGATATCATGTAAGTCTGATTTAAAGCCCATTTGATAAAACTAAAATTGATTGAATTGGCCGATTCTACCGAAATTTATGAAATTCTGGATGAAGTGACTGTATTGGCTGATTCTGCTGATTAATGAAAAAATATATTTAAAATATTTTCTATTAATAAATAAAATAAAAAATTATATGATAAAATAGCTAAAATGTTCCTCTACAGTAACTTCATCCAATACAGTCAGAAAAGTAACTTCAACCTCACTTTTTCTGTTTATTGCACAATTCAACGCGCCAAACCAAAAGTTACATGTTTGGTGAAAAAACTAACTGATAAGCCTGATGACCCTTTTTTGGCTTATCAGGCTTATCGGTCAGTTTTTTCACCAAACATGTAATCTATTTAGATCTTATTAAATCTTACAACCATGCTTGATGTACACACCCTTGTACACACCTTATACACACCATGTCTGTGAAGCCTTTTTTTTGTCTATGAATCCGGTTTACAGACAATATTTTGTTTGTGCAAAACATTATCTATGAATCGATGTTCACAGACAAAAAAAAACTTTCACAGACATAGATGTGTACAAAAGTGTATATAAGAGTGTGTACAAACATCATTTTTGTAAATCTTATTCCATCTATTTTATTCTAGTCTAATCTAATTTAGTCTATTCAACCTATTCTACTCTAGTCAAAGTCGTTAAAATTTGTGAGAAATAAGGTTAGTCGCTAACTTTTCAAGTGGGCTATCCTGAGAAAATGACCATAAAAGATTTGGCCCAAGAAACTTTGACTCCAACTGCCTTCTTACAGAGTCGGTTTCTAGCTTACTTGAGGCTTGTTGAGGAATATACGAGGAAGAGTGGCAGCCATTTTTGTTCTACCAGCTTTCAAAAGTAATGCTTGCAGAAGCGGGGAAGTTTAGGAAGAAACACTAAAAAATTGCTGTCTCTAACCTCGGTGAATCACCTGCCTATAGAAAACTTCATCCCTCTTCATCCATCTTAAGGTCTCAACTTCCTGTCCGATCTTTGTTGGGGATTACATATTCATGTAATTTCGCGCCTGTTGCTTCTGTTTGCTGGCCTTCAAGTGAAATTCTTTGCAGTTTCGTTCTATTCGTCTTAGGAAGTTGAGAAATGGAGGCAATAGGCTACGAGTCATCGATTCTCTAGCATCGGATTTACTTTAAGAGCTCCATTAAGGAGTGATTCTCGTTTTTTTAATGGCCGTGGAGTACCAATGTTGCGAAACGCAGTTCTTCATTCACATCCTTTTAATCGTTCTTCTGGTTGCTTTCGCGGGTATGATGTCTGGACTCACGCTGGGGCTTATGTCTCTCAGTCTGGTTGATCTTGAAGTTATTGCCAAGTCTGGAACTCTCCAAGATCGTAAATATGCCGGTATAACATCCTTATGCTCTGACTATATTTTTGGTAACCAGATTATCTGGTTGATATTGGTTATTTTGTTATACTTAACAGTAAACACTTCTGTTTCTCTTTCATTAGAAACAGAAGTGTTACTACAGGTGGTTGTTGAAGCTAAGTGGCTTAAGTTAGGGACTTCTTTAGACTGCTCTTTGTCAACTATGTGGCAGTCTGTAGTTGATGGTAGGGATGAGGTAAAGGTGTATGAATCTAGTGCATATGCCTTTGTAGGATTTGGTATTTCAACTAATTGTTGGAGCTTCAATAAGGAGATGCAGAACATTAGTAGCCACCCTCTGTGTTTTGTAGCGGCTGAGCATTTTGTTTTATTCTATTCACTAATTTAGTTTGTTTCAGAATATGAATACTACAAAGAGACTTGGCTCACCATTTGGATTGAGGTGAATTTTGGTGAATAAACAGATTCACTTTGTTTAATAACTCATTTGATATTATTAAACTAAGTTAAATGAGGTGAATTATTCAACCCTGTTCACCTAGATTCAATCCGTTTTTGTTACCCACAAGTTGGGGTAGTCAGGGTGAATCTCATATATTTTATGTTTTTTAATTCACTTCGACCTAAAGAAGGTTAAAACAAAATTATCCTATGTAGAGCTAATGTTATCCAAACTGCATATTAAGATATTCACTGAGGTGAACATCTTTTATTTTAACCTGGGTTATGTTTTAAGCTTACCGTAACATGGTGATCCTCAATCCAAATGGAGCAAGAGTTTTGATGTAAATTAGCTTAATATTTTTTGTTATTTTCTTCAAGTACCTTATCTGTGTAAGGACTAGAGACATCTCAGCATTTGAAGCTATAACGAAAGATAGTAGTGTGTAAAACTAGATGTTATCTTTCACAGTTGTGTTAGTATTGCTCTCAGTGTACTCTCTCTTTTTGTATTTCATCTATGCATTTTTCGTTTTTTATTCAAATCTTATTTTCACTTGTGATGTCAGCAAGGATATTACCAGTAGTAAAAAATCAACACTTGTTGCTGTGCACACTCCTCATTTGCAACGCTGCAGCCATGGAGGTACATCCAAATAGATAATGGATAGTTCTTATCAAAGAAAAGGGTTTTAATGAATCTAATATTTTAAAGTTTAAAAGAAGGGACTAAGTTTGTCACCTTTAGTAATATATCACCACCTTTGACACCTCCCTTCATGTTATTATCGCTGTTGAACGCTTTTTCGGCGACTTCTCCCGGGAAAGTTCTCTTGCGGATTTTCTAGCAACTTTTCAGGAAAAATCTCCTGAAACGGCTGATTTAGGCGGCAGTGGCAATCTGGAAGTGGGTGGAGGAGATAAAAAATGACGTTGATAGCTTTAGGGTTTTAGATAATCATATAATTTAGCCACATTATTTCAAAAATTAAAAGTAGTCAGATTTGTGTCCAATGGAACTCCAACAGTTATATTTTGGTCTTTCTTTCTCAAAGAAAACCAACTTTCTGCTGTTTATGTGATATTGAAAGTTGAAAAAAACTCCCCTTTTCTTTTCAGACACTTCCAATATTCCTTGATAGTCTAGTAACAGCTTGGGGTGCTATCCTTATATCTGTCACATTGATTCTCTTGTTCGGTGAGGTAAAAAATTAATGTTTGAGAATATCTACTGCAAGATGAAAGAATAATAATGATGTATTTATGTAGATGGATTGATATTTGCAACTTATTCACAGATCATACCACAGTCAGTGTGCTCAAGATATGGATTAGCAATAGGGGCTTTTACAGCACCCATTGTCCGCATTCTTGTCTGGATATGCTTTCCTATTGCATATCCTATCAGCAAGGTAAACATATTTGTCCACTGTTGTTGGTAAAGTTGTTTAGTGCTTAAACATCACAATAGTGATTCCCGAAAGGGGATAAACTAGTCTACTTTTCCCTTGATTTTTTTGCATGGAGTTCAAATCAAATCCCCGGACGCGCTTCAAAGTTTTTAAATATTTCATGAAAATTATTGTCAATTCACATTTCTAGATTTCTTTTAGACAATTGGCAGTATCTGGTTTAAATTTTTCTTGAAGACTTGAAGTTTGAAGTTTGAACTTATGATGGGCCATTTAATCTATTGATGTTTCAAGTTAGTGACTCTTTTCATATGGTTTTCAGCTGTTGGACTTCCTGCTAGGTCACGAGAATAAAGCACTTTTCCGGCGGGCTGAACTGAAAACTCTTGTTAACTTGCACGGAAATGAGGTATGCAGTTAGTGTGTGTTCTGTGATATGTTGTTATCTATAGAATGTGATTTTGCCATTGTCCCCTTCTCTTTATTCATTTGATTTTTGTGAATTGAAACATTAAAATATGAATCCAACTTTAGGAATTCATTGTTCTTAGCAAAGGTTCTGAGTTCTTTCTTGTATTTCCTATTTTGGTGCAGGCAGGTAAAGGTGGAGAGCTCACACACGACGAGACGACAATAATTGCTGGGGCTCTTGAGCTTCACGAGAAAACAGCAAGAGATGCCATGACCCCTATATCTGAAACCTTTGCAATAGATATTAATGCGACCCTGGACCGGTAGTGTGCACTTTGAGACACATCATTATGCCAAATTTGTTGGACTTTTTACTTATCTATGGCTTTTTCTACTTTTATTATGGCAGGGATATGATGAATTTAATATTGGAGAAGGGACATAGCAGAATACCAGTGTACTATGAGCAGCCGACAAACATTATAGGACTTGTTCTGGTACTTCACCGCATCCTCATTTGCAATACTCAAGAATTGTTATGCGCATTGATGTACTTTGAGACATCTGTTAGAGACATTGGGAAATCCATTTTGCTCTGGATTTTACATATTCCACTTCTCACTCACTGGGCAGAGAATCATGCAGAGATCTTAACCTTTTGGGTTAACTGACATAACATATTGAAAGTGGCTTAAATGAAGTTATATGTTAACTAAAAGCTATGAGACTTGCGCACTTGCTATATACTAAAACTTGGTGACGCATTTTGATGTTATAATCCAAACTTTCAAGGATGGCTGCCACCCTAAAAGGCTAAAATCTTATCGGGATCATAAAATTTTGGGTTGTTTCATTTCTAGAGGGTCCATATGGAACCTAGATAATATTATTGAAATACGAAGTCATAAATGAAAATTTGACCGCAAGAAACCATTTTGATACTCATTTTTTTTTGTCAATTCTATGAATACTAAAAAAGCGAACATACTTAAAATCTAAAAAAATATGGAGTATTTATTTCATTTGTGTTAGTTCTCCAAGATAGAAATCCAAACATAGAAAAACCACATTTCTCAGCATTTCTTTCCTTCCCCTAATATTTTCGGAGATTGGAACAATACCCTATAGGCTTTTTTTCAGGCATGGTCTTCTTAAAATTGTTTCTTTCTTGAACTGGGTATATGCTCGCACATGCATTCTACATAATCCCCGTCACTAGCCAAGTTTACTTCAATTGAATATGTATTGATAGTAATCTCACAAATTTCTGCTTATCTTATAACATTGTAGGTAAAAAATTTGCTGACCATTCATACAGAAGATAGAGTTCCTGTGAAAAATGTTACTATTAGAAGGATTCCTCGGTAAATCTTTTTCATCTTGCTTTGATATTACGGTGTTGTATAGTTGTCCAGTGCTTAAGCATTAACCATTCTCAATCATACTTTCAAGGTTTGTAAAAATCCCTTGATTGAAGAAAGAAGTCGCACCTACAATGGGTGCTCTAATTGGAAGGTGTAATAACCTCTAAAGAGTGACACCTACTGTGTTTCCCTTAATTTGGGATTCTGAAATTTTCATCTTTTGTTGCCTTCATGCAAAAATAGTTCTTGGATAAGGATTGCTGAAGTGTTGTCTATTCTTTCTGTAGTTGAAATGGTTTCTGTTTGATGTCTATGCTAATTGAATGCTCCGTGATACCTTAGGGTTCTGGAAACTATGCCATTAGATGACATCCTGAATGAGTTTCAGAAGGGTCATAGTCACATGGCTGTTGTTGTACGTCAGTGCAACAACCAGACAGCGCAAACGGCTATTGTACCCCCACCCAACGGCAAGTGCTTCTTTTGCTCTCGAAGTCTCCATATTCATTTCCACAGACTGAAAACCGTCCCTTGTCTTCTCCCATCCCCTCTTTCGTTGTTATGATCTCTGCCTGAGGTGCTAGACCCCAGTTTGCCATGGGGTGGGTAAGGGCACTCGAGTCCTACATTCAAACCCGAGAAGAGCTGAGATGCTAACTTTTAAGACCCAAAACCGACCCCAACAACCTCTGGTGCATTTCGGGTAAATCATAACACGAAATGTTGTCAAGTTGAAATAAATTTTGAGTAAATGCTGCATGAGGTTGGAAAAGTCTCTTTGGAACATTGCCCAGTGCGTGTAAAAAAGTAATTTAGTGAGTTTTCTCAGTCACTGAAGTAAATATGTCTGAAGTCTCTTTTGTGTAGCAGATGTGAAGGTTGACATTGATGGTGAGAAGACTCCTTCACAAAAGAGCCTGAAGATGAAACAAGCACTAAAGAAATGGAAGAGTTTCCCCAACAGTGGGAGTAATTCATATAAGAGCACACGAAGCAAGAAGTGGATGAAGGACATGTATGCAGACATCCTGCCAATGGATGGGAATCCGTTACCGAAACTCCCCGAAGAAGAAGAGGTAGTCGGAATAATAACTATGGAAGATGTTATTGAAGAACTTTTACAGGTAATCTTTTAACAATACCTCTGATATTGCAGAACAATTGGATTACTGTCCCATACGTTGATCTGATTCTTGATATTGTGTTGTATAGGAGGAGATCTATGATGAGACAGATCACCAGGTGGATGAATCGTGACATTAAAGGAATATATTTTGTATAAAATGCAAGAAATAATGAGATAAATGGTTAATCATATGTGCCTGAGAATTTTTGTTTCTGCAAGGGAATTGTACTTTGTGGGTTGGGCATGATCAGTTTCAGTTCCCAAATATGGTGTATTCAAGTTTCTTGAAGGCATGTTAATATCTTCAGCTATTTGTCTAAATCATGTACTGATGTACATACACGTTTGAGGTTATCTTTCTTTTTGGGGAAATTGCATGAGGTATAGGAGCTAGGAGCTGGGGGGTTTTCTATTACGGAGCACCCACCTCTGTGAGAGCCTATTAAGACAAATGTTTTTCCTATGAAAGGGTTAAATAAGCCGTTCTATTGTTTCCAATTCATCATTTAAGTTCATGTACAAAGAAAAGTATCATATAAGTACCCTTACTTTCAATTTGCATATTCTACATCTATGAAGGGTTTTACAATTTATATTTAATATTGTTTACATTTTAACTTTATTATTTCTGTGTTCTATTATTTTATTTATTTAATATTTTTTACATTTTAACTTTATTATTTCTGTTTTCCGTTTGTTTATTTTTTTATTTAATGTTTTTAATATATTTATCCATTTTTACATTTATGATATTTCTTATATTATTATTACAATATTTTTCAAATTCATATGAATTTTTATAAGGTTTAACAATAGTTTTATTTTATTTTTTAAAAAGTAACTTGCTATAACATGTCAAAATGACTAGATCGGTAGCATTTTTATATGACACTTGTTTTTAATAGGTCTTAAATGATAGATTGAAAATAATAGTGGGTCTATTTAACAATTTTCCAAGAGAAAATTAGCAATTAAAATATGCACATCTTGTTTACCATTGAGTACATGTATTACTACCTCCGTAACGATAGGATCTTCCCACTTTGAAAGTGGGTTAGGATCTTCCCACTTTGAAAGTGGGTGTGATTATGAATGGTGACAAACGATATTACTTATTGAGGGTACGGTAGGAAGATAATGAAAAATGAAGAATAAATCCAAAAAAGTAGGTGTAATAGTGTATTATTTTCTAATACTGTATGATTGGAGAATTTAGAAATGGAGAGATTATTTAGTTAGATTGAAAATGAAAAGTTTAAGATCCTCACCTTATGGAGGTACGGAGGTAGTATGTAATAGGATCAAATTAGATTTAAAATATAGTAAATTTATAATCTCATCATTATATTAAATGAAGAAGTAAATACTGTCAAAAAAGATGAACAAGTAAGGAAGTGTTTTCTAAAAATTAAAAGAAAAATTCTTTTGAGTTTTTGGCTTAAAAGGTTAAAATGAGTGTTTTCAACTACCTACTTCTACTTAGAGAGTGATTGCGATTACTTTAAAAAAGTAATTTTTTTAAAGTAATTTCAGAGAAAGTGATTAATAATAAAAGTTGATAGTGTTTGGGAAAAAGTAAAAGTTGAAAGGAGTGAAAAGGAATTTAAAAAACTCCTCCACATACTTCAAGTTTTTAGCATTAAGTGATTTTACTTGTGGACGGGTTTTAAAGTCGTGAGATGCTGAAGTACCAAAGCGGATAATGTTCACAAGGTGTTTATAATAACTTTTTAGTATTTGTGAGCTTTTAAATCTTTTCATCTCAATTGTAGTCCTTTTGTTGTTCAGTTTAAGACTTAGGGATTGATTACTCTTTTTTTATTAAGCCCCATCTAGATTAAGACATCTATCTTGGTTGAAATATTTGTCTGGATGAAGTTGTATTTGTATATGAAGCTGTTAATTTTATGTGCTGAAATAAACAATCTAGGTTGAATAAAATAATCAATTTTAGTATTATGTTTGGAATATAATGTCATGAGAAACTTTATTTATTAGCAGAAATATATCCACAATCGATTTTAAAAAAATGACAAAAAAGACGTTTAAGGGAGAGACTACTATTTATAGGGATGTCAAAAAACCTGTCCCGTAGAGACCTGCCTTGCCCCGAGACATTTGGGGCGGGTCTAGCCTGCCCTGTCTTGCAAATGGGGCGGGTCCGCCTCGTCTTTACTTACAATGGGGCGGATCTGTAGCACCGTCCCCAAGCATATTTACTTTTAGTAAATTATGTAATAAATCTTGAAGGATGATTTATGAATTTGCGTAAATGTAAATTTTTATTAATTCTTTTACGTGAATAGTAAATTGCATGTGGGGCCCACGCCCGGACCGGGGGGCCGCCCGATAATTCCCGAACCACATATTATATTCATCCTTGTCTAGATGACATCTACATGGAGGTGGATATTTTATTTGGGCCATAAGAAAGGCATGGAGTTGACCGGTTGGTCAAACGGGGCCCAATTACCGGTATTGGTAATTTAGCGGATAACAGCCCGAAATGAGTTTCGGAGACTCCTAAATTAATGTTGGGGAATGTACATCTATTTTATTCGGTCCGATAAAATAAAATATGATTAAAACGGGCCGAGAAATACAACTTTCGGGGCCGATTATACACATCGGGGCAGAATGGGATGACCTTCCACATGAGTGGGGGCCACCCCACGATTTTATGTTTTACAAAGGACCAAAGAGGCAGCTAGGGGCGTGCATATTAGGCGGGAAGTCTCGATTGAGACAAAACCCATACCCCCAAGTCATATCTTCCACAATTATATTGTGGTTGATTGAGGAGCATCCCCTACCACACTTGTACCATCCGCACAACTCAACCACAGGGAGATAAGCTCTGGGAAAAATCTCCACAAAGCTCCAGCCCAAGGGAAGCAAGGAGGGAGGAGAATCCAAGAGGGGAGAGCTAGGAGTTGGGTAAGAACTCATTGAGCATTTCTTTTAACTAGTTTATGTTGTATGATTTTTAAGAAATCATATGGTGGATTAAAACACGAGTTCTACACGTTTAAAAGTGTAGAATATTGATATAAAGTGGTGGTAATTAACTTAGAAGGGTTGGCAAATCGATAGGAGTCGAAACCACCGGAAACCGCCACTTCAAAGGAGCTAGTCGTAGTTGCAGACCACGAAAGCCGCCCGGCTTTCGTGAAAGCCGCCCGGCTTTTGCCCAGCAGTCCAATTTTCCACTTTCAATCGGCCTAGAACGGGGATTGATCGAGGAGCTTAGCAAAGGCAACTATTTCAGCACTTCATAAGGTGAGGATGGCTGACTATATTGCTTATAATTAGTGAGTTAATTTCATAAGAGTGCCTAAAGTAATTAGATGGGATTTTCATGGATTATTAATGATTAATAATGCCTAAATGAAAATAATATTGATTTGAGTAAGTGAAGCATGATATACAAATTTAGAATAATTGTGTATGATTATGCGAAACGAATGGAACGGCATGTTAATGGGATTACTATGATGACATTGTGATAAAATATACTTTATGTCATGTATGAAATTCATGAATGGATTAAAGTGATATTTTTGACATTGAGATCAAACTATACTTGTGTTGGGAAATCAATTGAAATGAAATGCCAATTGGAAAGTAGGAACTTGGCATGTTCTAAGACTATCCAATTAGTATCAAAATACTAGTCGGGGAATTTATATAAATAAATGATGAAACAAATCCTAAGAGGTAGGATTGTGATTAGATATGCCTTAAGTAGTCTCAAGAGATACTTTAAGGTTGAATTGTGTGAACACTAAGGTGTGATAGGGGTAGGCCTAAAGGCTACCTACGGAAATTGATTCTAGGCATAGGAATTGCTTGAGAATTTAATTATGAAAATAATTAGAGTTGGGCTCTAGGATGACATGGAAATGTAGTTGGGCCGAGCCCATGCCATGTAATATGATTAGCATGGAAACGTAGTTGGGCCGAGCCCTTGCCATGTATATGTGATCTCCGTGGAAACGTAGTTGGGCCGAGCCCTTGCCACGAAGTTATGGTTGGTATGGAAACGTAGTTGGGCCGAGCCCTTGCCATACAAATTTCGATATGTTATATTGAGTTAGAGGATTGTATAGAAATGTAGTTGGGCCGAGCTCATGCTATACAATTGGGGCTCGATGGGACCCCACGGGGTTATCGTGACTTGCGGTCACGGGGGAATGGAAACGATGAATTCTAAATGAATATAGGCCCACGGGCCGACTACTTGACTCTATATAAAGTAAGTACAGTTAAAAGAAAAAGGGGTAACCGAGGGTTATGGCCTATAACATAATAGTACCCTAAGTTGAGGGTCTTAGAAATTAAAACATCAATTATACTTAGTATAGTTGCTATTGTACTTGTCAAATATTTCCAAGTACTGACCTCCCCTTCACGGGGGAGGCCACCTCACAGTTTCAGGTAGAACTTGAAGGTTGTTGCCACCTCCCGTTGCTTCGGGAAGATCCAAGGAAGAAGACGTGGTTCGTGCTTCTCCCGTTTCTGTTTTGAAAACAACTTAAATAATGCTCATGGATATTGTTTTTTGAATAATTATTTGGGGGCTTGTACGCCCATGATTGCCAAGGTGTGGCACAAACACTTACGTTAAATGTTTCCGCTGCTATAAATGTTTATTTTACATTATGTTTGTTTATGGATGTACTATGTGTGAATGGTATTCAAGACACCTTGTATAGTATGGATGAGTCGGACTGCGGTTGACTATTCGTACTGTACGGCGGGTTGTTGACGTGTCCGGGTAGGTCCGGAGCGTGACAGGATCTGGGTACTAGTATTGACCCGTCCCGCCCCGCTCAATATATAAGTATATATTTTTTAAAATTATATTACAAATACACATATATATCTATTCTAATATAATAGCAAAATAAATCTTCATGTGGAAGATAGCGCCAAAACTTGATCAGTCGTATAGAGGAAGTTGCAACGCAGGGAACAATAAAATTTCACATTAATGAATTTTGGGGAACTCAATAGCCAGTAATATACATCAGGCGTATGCATTGAATTATCAACAGGACAACAACAGTAAATATGAGTAGGACAACAATAGTAACTTTTCACAGTCTAATGTCCTGCTTTATCATAAATACGCACGAGTCCCATTGAAGATCACTCTATATATACATGAGGGATGCTTCATACAGAGTATTTCTTGAGTTGCTCTAAACTGTTGAGAGAACTACAAAGGCATAATAACATCAAACATCAGATGGTTGGCATATATGTACAAATTTTGGTTATTTTAACAACTTTTCAAATTTATTTAGGTATTAGAGTTCATGGTCATATTAAGAAAAAAGCAAAACCGGATGCCTAAGTTTCAACCTGAGAAGAGCATATGTGTGCCAGAAAACAATTGTGGTAGAAGAAAACTACATGAACTTTTGTAGTACCAAGAACATTCCAAATGGAAGATCATGAGTCGAATACAATCATTAGATATATTTAAGCCTGATTTCCCG